GACAGATAATCAGATAGAACATCTGATAAGTATATTAAAACAGTATCTGCAGTGCTTTATCAATTATAATCAGAATAACTGAGTGTATTAATTATCATTTACAGAGTTTATATACAATAACTCAAAGCATGTCAGTATAGATAAAACTCTCTTTGAGATGCTTACTGAGACTCATCTGCAGATGATCTTGATAAATCTGTGAGAGTACACTATAGAGTGTAGTGATGTCTATAAACAGGCTGAGAGAATTCAGAAGATCTGAAAGAAAGTCTGTGAATTCTTAAGAAAGACTCAAGAGTATCAGAAGAGATACTATAACTTTAAGCATATTATAAAGAGTTTTAAGAAAGATGATAGAGTCTGACTAAGTCTAGAAAATATTATTATACAGAGATCTAGTAAGAAGCTGAATCTCTTATAGACAGAGTCTTATAAGATTATGAAGAAAGTTAGCTTATAGTTTTATAGATTGAAACTATCACCTGAGTTATAGATATATAATATTTTTCATATCTTCTTACTCTGTGAATATAAGGAATTTTCAGAAGAGAACTCTGTGACTTATTACTCTGTTTATAAAGTACTAGAGAGTGAAAGAGAATATCAGATTAAAGAAATTATTAACTCAGAGAAGTGAGATTATGAGCTCTGATTTCAGATTCAGTGACAAGAATATTCTGATAAGATAAATAAGTTCACTTGAGAATTATTCAGATAGATAAGATATCTGTAGAAGCTGAGACATGACTTTCATACTGTAAATTCTGATAAGTCAGAATAATATAATCTTTACTAAGAATCTGATTATAATAAAGATATTAATACTGTTATTTATAAATTCTAGTTTATAAGATAATGAGTTTCTACTGAGATGAACAGTCTGTGATGTATATAAGAAAAGAAGAAATCATATTCTCATTAAAGCTAAAAAATAAGAAAATAAACAGGACTGCAAACACAATTTAGAGATTAATAAAGAAAAAATAAAGAAAACTCACACTTATACTCTTAACACTCTCAACATCTGTGACACTTAATTCTCTTATAACTATCAATTTCTCTCTTCAAAGAAGCAGAAAGTATCATGCCTGTGATACAGACAATTATTACATTTAACATGAAGACTGTTAGAAATGCACAGACTTCAGAGAAGCTGAACACCAGAGTACATACAGTTGCAGCAGAGTCTTGAGAACTGGCTATCTGTATATGTGATCAGATACTTCTTATGAAGCTATATCTACTTCTCTAGTTATACTGAAGTATTCAGTCTGAAAACAATTAAGATACAGAGAGAGAGCTCATCTGTTCAGATTAACTTCTGTTATGAATTCATGACATTTACATTGTCTTGATTACCTGGATTTTATAAGTACTTAGAAATCTATCTCTCATTGATAATGAGATTATGAAAATGCACTGCAGTGTGAGAACCATTGATAGAGAATCTAAACATATTTATATATGCCTGGTTAGAGATTGTGCAGGCAGAGAAGAAGTGATCATAGGCTCACAGAGCTGTAGAAGACACTGGCATCACTGAGAGCTTTGCAAGAACTGTCAGCTAGAATCTATAAGAAATTACTTATGAGAAGACTTACAGCAAAGAGAGAAACTATACTACTTAAAGTCAGAGACTGATCTGAGAGAGGCATGAGATTGACTACTGGCCTGAAGATCAGATGCAGTGACAGGACTGAGAGAGATAAAGATATAATTATAAGTGACAGTGTCCCTGCTTCATCAGCCAGTAAAAAGTAATCAGAGAAGTTACAGAAATACTTATAAGAAGCTCAGCAGTGATCAGACATTGTTTATAAAGATATTGAAATTGAAAAATTTTTTATTCTTGAGAAGTTCTTGAATCAATATTCAGATATTGTTAGAAACACTCTCTCTCTGTTATCTGAGTGAAAATACTTTATGAATGAATGAGAATACTTACAGTTTATAAGAATGAAAGCTGTTACAGAAAAAGAGAAAAGAAGATAAGATTTTATAAACAGATCTGAGATATTTATACTACTCTAGAGAGATTTGTTTGCACTGTGAGTGATTTCACAGAACAGTCAGATTACTCTAGTAAATAAGAGTGATTATGAATCACAGACCTGAATCTTTCTATATGACTATAAAGAGTGATTGCAGACTGCAGATATCTTGATTCTACAATTCTACAGAGTTAATGAAAGAATGAAAAATTCCTCACAATTCTACAGTATTAAAGAACAATGATTTATAAGAATAAGTGAAAGATTAACTCACAAATGCTTCTCTTTGATAAGAATGATCTCACAGAGAGTGATTCATCTGTGAGATGAATCTGTGTGATAATCACACAAGAATCTTGTGAAAATAGTTAAGAGTTAATCAGAACTCTTCTGTATGAAAGATGTAAGATAAATCTGTGTAGTAGTTAGAGAAGAATCTGTAGACTATAAAGAATCTTATGAAATAAGAAACTGAGTGACAGACTCTTTTCTCCTTATAATAATAAGGAATTTTTCCTCACTGAGATTTTTTTATAAATATGAAGGATTTTTAGTGAGTATCACTGCAGTGCTGAGCTGACTCTATGAAGTCACTCAGTGAAAGACTTTGTGAATAAAGTCTTAGAGAGAAAGAAGTATGTAAGAAATTCTGCTTCTTGCAGATTCTTTATCTCTATTTCTATCTCTTATATAATCAATAGAGCTAGTGGCCCTTGGCTACATATAACTATATAGACTGAAGTTTGTGAATACTATTCATAACTCAGCTTGAATGCTATTATATATTTAATCTCTACATTTTATCTTTCTACTGTGAATACTTCTAGTAGTTAACAGTACATATCACGCCAAGCTGCAAACACCTGAATAATCGCCTGCGAGCACCTATTCTTACAATGCATGTGCAAAAGCTAATAAGTTACTTCTGAATTAAGCAATTCAATCAAAAAGAATACAAGACTTACTAATTAAGAAATTAAGTCTCAAGATGAGAATGTGAGTTCTTATATATAATAAGAGTTCTGAGAAGTTTCAATCTAGATGATTTAGACTCTATAAAATACTCAAATCACATTCTCTGAGAATATATAGATTGAAAGAATCAGAGGAACAGATCTTATACAACTTAATAAATGATTTATATCTTATGAAGATAAAGATATAAGATCTGAGTGAATTATAGTTATCTGCAGCACTATTATCAGTGTTGAAAAAGAAGAGACTTATAATTGAAAAGTCTTACAAAGTAAGAGAAATCATAGATACTTATAAATCAGATAATCTCACTTATTCTGATCTTTTCACAATTATAAGAAAAGAATGAGAAGTAATAAAGAAATCAGACAAATATCACACTCTAATAAGTGATAAGACTGTAGCTGATTGTATAATAACACACTACAGACAGTGAATGTAACACAGTAAAGAGCAGTCTCAAAGCAGTAGACTTACACATGAATCAGATTACAGAAGAAAAAGAAATTCAGAGTTAAATTTAACTGTTTACATCAGTTTAATTGTGAAGACAACAGAGAATAAATCATCTGAAACATCTGTGAACATGTGAGATTAAGTCATCTCAATCTCTGAGAACACTCAGAGATCAGGTGAGATTAGTTTCAATGAGCTGTTTACTGTAGTAATCTGAGTGAGTGAAGAGAGACAGTATAATACGCGAGCCAGAATCACAAGATGAAAGCTGCTGAACCTAGTCACTGAATGCTGTATTATATAGAGATTGTGTAGGAGTAGTGACTAGCAGATAAAGAAAAAGTGTAAGAAAAGAAAAGAAGATAACTTAAGAGATAATGAATTGATTATCAACTGTAAGAGTCAGCTGTAAAAGATAAATGTTATTATACAACTCATTCATTTTCATACATCACATATTTGATCTATTTTCAACATCATGCCACCTGAAAAGAAAAATGTCAAAAACAAAGAAAATCTCAAAACTCGAGATCTGTAAGAGATTCAAGAGCTGTAAGTCACTCTTATAATAATGCTGTGCATGTCTCTGATTTCTCTACTGCTCTGTGTATGACATTAATATCATTTATTTCAAGATTGACTGGAATGCCAATATAGAAATGTGTATGTATATGCATAGAAAAATTGAAGAAGAGTATAAAATCTGCAGAATCAGAAGTCAGAGCAGAAGAGACAGAGATAGAAGAAACAGAAGAGAAAGAGAGCATAGAACTGAATAAATAATGATGAGAGCTACTCAGAGCTGAACACTTACAATCTGATATGCATATAACCTTTCTCACAGAGAAGAGAGAGAAAGTACTGAAAGAAGCTTAAGAGCAGAAGAGAATAGTCTCAGTGATATTATCATCTTCAATTAAAATAGTCTCTGACACTGAAGTAACTAAAAACTATTATTAGTATACAAAACTGTAAAAACAGAGATAATAATTACTGAATAAACACTTGCTTATCTTAGAGTTATACACATAATTACAACACACACAAGGCTTCTCAGAAAGAGAGAGAGGAACACAGAGAAATACAGAATGCAGAATACAGTATATAAACAGCTTATTTTCATAATAACATCTCAGACAAGGTGTACAAGCCTCATACCTGTGAATGTAAAAGAGTATGATATTCACATTTCTATTTCTGAAAACACAGATATCTTTCACCTGTATCACACAGTTAAATAACAGACATCAGAGAATAGACTGATACAGATCTATCATTTCAAAGAAATTCATTAGAGCAGATATATCTACAATATTAAATTTAACAGTTATGAAAAGTTTCTTAATATCTGTGAATATTATAACTTTATATATAATAAAACTTATAATGATTTTTTCTAAGAACAGAAAAATCAGTGTCAGAAAGAAAAGATAAAAAAGAAAAAGACTTATAATCTCAACACTGTTAAAGAGAGAGATAATTCTTTGATATAAATGAATAATTATCTCATCATGAATATTTAAAATAAATATAATAATTGATATCTGTGACTGAGCTTTAGATAGTTATATTGTACACAGTCTTTATACAATAAATTATTTTAGAGATTGACAAGAAGAATGAGAGTATATATACTGAAAAACATGATTCATTAAGTCTATGCAACATCTTCTTGAAATAGAAAGAGCTGATAATGAAAGCAGAGATGATAAAAGCAGAGAGAGCAGAAGTAGCAGAAGTAAGAATCACAGAAACAGAGGTAGTGAAAGCGGGAGAATCAGATGCAGAAACAGATATAAAAGATTGAGAGAGAGCAGCAGAGAAAGAAACAGAGAGAATAGAGAGAGATATAAAAGACTCAGTCATATATAATATAGACAATTTCTTCATTATCACATCTCTTAAGTTCTCAATCAATAATTTAACATTAAGGTCATGATTATCAGTGAATATAGATCTGTTAATGTATGAAGATTTTATATGAATTAAAATAAATATATTAGTATCTGTGTTCATGTAAAATGATCAGAAAACATGATCAGAAAACACAATCAGATACCTGCTGAGAACAGAAGGTTAAGAGTGTATAAGAAGATGAAGAAGATGTATCATTCATAATAATATATTCTGATGATTATTAGAAGAAAACAAGTTCTGATCATATTTCATAATGTGTTACACTTACTGCTAATAAACTGCTCAGTATAAGTACTACAATGACACTTGTTATAAGAACAGAAGATCATCATCAGAAACATGTATAATATAATAAATAAACAGATAGAAGATATGAGACAGAAGAAGAGACAGAAATCTTGAATAAGATAGTAGTATTCAATAATAATAATGATGAAGAAGATAATTGAAGAATGAAAAAAGTTAGTAAATAAGTAATATAATATAGTGAAAGATTCTTTATAAGAGTGTAAGAAGAATACTAGTCAGATCAGAAATAGACTGTATAATTGTGAATACTAGTGACATGCTAATCTGCATGAAGCTAGAGCTTATATCATAATCACATGAGTGTGACTGAATCTGGTGAGGAAGAATGTGATTCAGAAGAATATACAATCACTGAATAATAACACAGCTGCTTTCAAACATGCTTACAAATGTAAAGGGGCTATAGCGGCCACTAATTAATTTAGTATAATGTATATAAGAAGCCGGCGTACGCCTGTAATCGTACGCTGGCTCAAGTAATCATTGAATCACACATTTGCATTGCAGAATGAGCATTCTGTTGAATCAAATCTATTATCAAATCTTTGTATATAAGATTTGAAATAATCATATTCTAGTTTCAGCTGAATTATAGATGTGTGGTTTGAAAGAATGTACAACCGCCAGATAATAACGCGGCCGCTTCCGAACATGCTTACGAATGTAAAGAGGTCATAGCAGCCACTAATTAATTTAGTATAACATATATAAGAAGTCAGCATACATCTGTAATCATACACTGACTTAAGCAACCTTTGAATTATATCTGATAGCATGTTTAAAAATTAGTGAGAAGTGCAGACTTCTTCAGAGCATGATAATTCTATCTACAAAGCAATTTATAGTTATCATGTCAGAGTGATTCTAAAACATCTTAAAAGATAGTGTATGAAGAAGCAGTGAGTGAAAGAGTATTCAATTGATACTGCTTTACTTATTAGGAAAAAACTTCACACTCAGATAAATGTCATGTATATAAATGAATGAGATGTGAGAAAGAAAATACAAGCAGTGAATTAGATTCAAAGAAGAGTACTCTCTACTCAGAAGAATAAAAGAAGAGTAATTATCACTGAAGTTATATAATGATAACAGAAATCAGAAATCAGAAATCATATAATGATATAATGATATAATAATAGATATTATACAATTAATAAGAAATCACTGAAATGAACATCTTCTCTAGTTAATATGAATAATACTCTTCTCTACTATCTGAACTGAAAGGTATACAGAACCTCTCAGAGAGTTTACTCAAAACAGTAAGAAAAGTAACTGAGATTACTGAACTAAAGTCAAAGCTCTGTACATGTACAAGAATTCTAAATAAGATTGAGATCTTGTATACACAGTAACAGGCTAAGACAGAAGTTAAGTAACAATTGATATTCATGATAGATTAAGTATTCACTATGAAGAGCTTCACTGATACAATTATCATCATTAATAAGAATAGAGAAAACCTGATTATAGACCTGTAGTAAGAGATTGAATAATTATACAGATAGACAACTACACTGAATCTGAAGATCTTATCATGATTATTCACAATCTCTTCAGAAGTGTATACATCATCTGAGACTGCTGCATATGATGAGAATTCAAGTATAGAATATATCAAGTCAGACAATCTACTGAAGTTATTAAGCTTTAATAGCAACTGAAAAAATAATGCTGCAATCAGCTGACTAAGTCAAATACAATTATATTATTAAATTAAGTATGAACTGACAGACAGACAGTTAACAGAATTTTAATAAGTCTTAAGATCTGCTATATTTCTACACAGAAAAACAAAGTTATTATAAATAACTGATAAAAAGATGAATCTCACAGACTCAGAGCAATATTCATTCTTATAAATATAAAATGAGTTTTTCAAATGAATCTTATATAACTTTGAGAAAGTGAATATATAAGATAAGTATTATGAATACTTCACTAAGTATAGATAAGTGAGTAATCTTATATTATACTTTACACACTTCAGCTTATACTATCTTATATTGAATAAAGAGCTTTTAACATCTTTTTATTTATAGATCTTCATTCATGATCTTATATCTGAGTTGAGAGTGAAATGGAAATGCTTAATCTTACAATCAGATACAGTAAAAGAAGTATATAATATTCTTATTATGCAGAAATAAGTAAGTCAATTGTAACAGAAAATACTGTAATTGAGTATTTCTTAGTAAAGAATGAGTAATCAGACTTCTATAACATAAGTCACACACTTGAATACAATGAATCTAGATTTGAATACTATTATTAAAGTGCTGAATTCTCTGAAAAAGAGATTCTCTGAGTGAAAATCTTGATATTATAAGTATTGAGCTTACTTCAACTGCAGATATCAAAATCATAATACAAAGAATTACACACAGTATATACAGTTAAGAGAAGTAAGAGAGTTAAAAAACTAGCAGAATCAGTGAGCTCAGAGACACTTGCTGATATTCTATAAAAGGTCTTCAAAGTGAAAGAGATGCTTATATTAGATAATTCTTTGAATTCTGTGAATACTAAGAGAAAGCAGACTCTTTGTAAGAGGCCTACGCCGAATAGATCGGTATTATATTAATAGGTCTTATATAACAAAGAGAAAAATGTTAGAGAAGAAAAGAAAGAGAAAGTGTGAAAATCAGCAATTAAGATGAATATTTATACATGTATGTGATGGCATACACAGTGGAGCTTCAGAGCAGAAGAATCTATACATGTTCATAGTGGCTGAGAATCGGCGATTGAGAATGGCTGAGAATCGGAGTATACACATTCAAGAATGAAGTGAAAGAATCTATGAAGCGGAAGAATCTATGAAGTGTAACAGAATAGTCTATAGAATTGATCGGGCACAGCCTGCCACATTAGCCCCCTCTTTTCAGAAGCAGTTCTCATCAGTTAAGAGTCTCTGATTCAGATAATGTGAAACTCAGAGTCTAGGTTGAGTGATCATCCCTGACTCATTTCACAAGATATTGTCAGCTGCGGCCGCGGGGTCTCTCATTGAGAATATTCTCAATCTCTCACTCAAGCTCATTATCTTCTTCTATAATGCCTGGCAGCTGCCAGTTGAAAGTCAGTTGAGAAGGGAACAGATTGATGACAGTGTGACAGAGCAAGCTTGTATGAAAGATATCATGAATTTCTGATGATGTGTCAAGACAGTAATTATGACTGTCTAGAACTTCTATCACTTTATATTTGATATGGCAGTAATTCAGTGTATGAGATGAGTGTGTGATTTGTATATTCTTAAGATTCAATTATATCAAGTCTTCTATCTTATATTATTTAGTGGGATCTCAGTGAACATTGATTTGATTCTCTTAATCTTGTTTCACAGTTGTCATGAAGACCTCTGCTCAGTCACAGACATCTCAGAGCTTCATTATTATATTATCAGTGATCTGAATCAGACTGCAAGAGTTAAGTATGAACTGTGTAATCTCTAGAAAAGTCAACACCTTCATGTGATAACTGTGTGTAAGAAAGAATGAGCTTATATCTGTTGAAACAGCATCTCATTCATTGATAGTAATCTCTGTGTGTAGAAGCAGATCATGTCAATCATCTTATAAGTGATTGCAGAACTTATGAAGATAATTCTTTATAGTCTGAATTGTTCATTCTGATATATTATCAGTCTCAGAGTGATAGACAGTTGACAGACAGTATATAATCTTAAGAATCTGACAGATTCTTGTTCAGAGAGCACTCATGAATTGATGACTCTGATCTGATACTATAGATCTCAGTAACTCATGCATCTGATAGAACAGACTCTGTAAGAAGACTTTAATAACTTATTCAGCATTTATCTTATTATAAGATTTCAATATTACACTCTTACTTAGTCAGTTAATAATGATCAGAATGTTTCTACAACTCTTACTCTTAGATAGATTAATAGTGAAGTCAATTACTACATCTTATCAGATTCTATCAGAGATATTAAGTGATTTTAGTAGATCTTTTCTACAATTCTTTTATGAGATAACAGAAGAACAGCAGTTACAGTTTCAGACAAAGTATCTGATACTGTTTAATATCTCAGGTTAATAGAACTCTCAAGAGATCATTCTATACAGTTGTTCACAGTCTGAATAATCAGTTATATATAAATCATGCATCTCTTGCATTATCCAGGCGTGTAAGAGTTCAAAGTGAGAGACTCAGCATTTTTTGTGAAATTGTAGAGTGTTATTATCATCAATTGAACATTCTGAGATGTCAGTTCTTATATGTAGTTCTGAGAGGAATTGAGGTGCTTCTTGATATACTGCTTTAATGAGTGCTTGAAGAAGTTCATCAGTTTGAGCTGTTACATGCTATAATTCATCTAGTGTAGCTTCAGAAGAAGTTGAGATATCAGTGTCAGTGTCAGTGTCAGTGTCAGTTCAGAGAGAAAGTGTTCTAATCAGAGAAGTGTGTATAGTATCATGAGTTGTTTCATCTTGATCAACTAATATCTTCAGATCTAGAAGCTGATGTTCTTAGTTCATTCAATAGGTGTCTGCTATATTGAAAGACATATCTTACTCTCATTAGAAGAGAGTATCTATTATCAAGTTCTGACTGCTGAAACAGTAGTGTATTATAAAATAAAAGCAGCTTAAGAACTCAGATCATCACATCTGTCATTCAGTGAGTTTATAGATAGTTATAAAGTATTTAAGATTTTTATAATCTGTGATTATCTCAAATTCAGAGATACTTCAGAGTTCAGAGTCTCATTCTTTCAAACAGTGTATAATTGTGAGAAGTTTCTTAT